GAAGAAAAAGAGGATTATGGATAAAAGTAAAAGAGGATTATAGGTAAAAGAAAAAGAGGATTATGGGTAAAAGTAAAAGAGGATTAAGGTAAAAGTAAAAGAGGATTGGGGAAAAAGAGGATTTAGGTTAAAAAGTCCCTTATAAAAAGAAAAGATTATTTCCCTAAAAGTAAAAGAGGAATATAAAAGAAAAGAGGATTTGGGTAAAAGTAAAAAGAGGTTTCCCCTAGGTAAAAGAAAAGAGGATTGTCGGTAAAAGTAAAAGAGGATTATAGGTTGAAGTCAAGAGGATTATTGTCTCTGAGGATTATGGATAAAAGTAAAAGAGGATTATGGATAAAATGAAAGAGGATTAAGGAAAATTAAAATCAATTATAGGTATTTCCTGGATTTTAAAAAGTAAAAGAGTATATATATATATAAAGATATATATATATATATATATAAAAGTAAAAAGTCTGTAAAGAAAAAGAGGATAGGTATAAAAATCGAATATATATATATATATATATATATATATATATATATATAGTTAAACCTAGAGAGCCAGACAAACCTGCCAAAGTTTCACCTAAGCGGATCGTCAGGAAGGCTGGCTTTGAGCTTTGTGGGTGTTGAGTAAACATAAACAGCCCTCCCTGACGATCCACTTAGGTGAAACTTTGGTAGGTTTGTCTGGCTCTCTAGGTTTAACTAGGTTTGCTCTACTCAAAGTATTCAGCACTTTTTTTAGTTATTTTGCGTACTCCTATCGGGTTTTTTTTTCTTTGGACTCTGGACTTGCATGCTGGACGATTATTTTCGGCTAACGTACATGTTCCTCGTTCTTTCTTTTTTATACCCTTTTTTTCTCTTTGGTATTGGTTTGATTATTAGCAAATCAAGTCACCGAATTTCTTATACTTATAAGATTATTACTACTAATATATATATATATATATATATGTGTGTGTGTGTGTATGTGTGTATAGAAAATATGTCGCTTTTGTATTTGGTATATATCGAATATATATTTATTTCTAATTGAACTGTTTTATTAATTCAAACCTTATTGTCGTGGATACTCGTATTTGAAACTAATGCAATCGAGAAATCTTAATAAAGAATATGTGTTCTCCGACATGGATCGAACCTGTCTTCTCCTTGATAGGAGAACCCACCGGTGTGATTTACCACTGTGACGCTCTTTGTAGCCGAGTGTTAAAGCACACCGGACCAAAGGTTATTTTTTATGTTTTTGAATGCGCGTATTTTCGACCTTCTCCACAGTTGCTATCAAGAACTGAGATTTTGCTGGTGCTTTGCCTAGTGACGACGTTTCCTCGTTTGCTGGACCAAATTTCATGTCACCTAAAGTTGACATCATTTACAACTATTTAATTTTGACTGCTTCCCTTGTATTACACAACTTCCAGAATGTTAAGTTTTTCTTTGCATTTAGTCCCCTATAATATTTTGGGGTTATCTATTAAAAATTGTCTCATGACACCAAAATATTTATATAGGACTGAATTAATCCAGTATTAAATAGTGTATTTTTCTCCGTCGTAGAATTTGTATTGAAGTATGTATAAAAACAATCACGTAAACATTCATTTTGACCGTTGTAAATGACGTCAGCTGTTGGAAAAAAGAGGAAAAAGATTAGAAACTTGTTTAAATGAATTCATACTTCATAAAGGCATTTTATTTAAACACATACACAAAACGTCCCCCAGCAGTCGCTATAACAAGGTTATTATCATTAACAAGGCGTCTATCAGAGGAAGACTGACATTGAAAATAAATTTAAAACAATGCTCCGAGACAGACACTTACGGGCTGATGATAGCCGCGTACAGAACGGCTTGATATAGAGTATCCCATTTTAAGATATTTTTTTGCTGTAAAAAATACATATGCTCTGATATAATAAATACATCGATCTGTCTATGGATCAATTTTAATAATTAATATTTCTAGGATCCACCCGATCGATTACCTATACTGTATCTATCTATCTATCTATCTATATATATATATATATATATATATATATATATATATATATGTAAGCAAATATATGGATATAGATCCGACAGTATGAAGAAAAATATACGGAAAAAAACCAAAAAAATCCTAATATACAATTATGCTGTTTTAATGTTAATATAATGTCAACGTTGGACGTTTCGGTCCAAACAGATAACTGAAATCTTTTATAAGATCAGCGTTCCGTGATCATATTTAAACGGAACGCTGATCCTATAAAAAGATTTCAGTTATCTGTTTGTATTGGTCTTGTTTTTTTATGTCCATCGTCCTTTTCATGTTGAATTGAATATGGTCTATGTTAATTACGTTTTATGAATATGTCCTGAAGATGGTCCATTAGACCAAAACGTCCGACGTTGACATTATATTAACATTAAAACAGCATAATTGCATATTAGGATTTTTGTTTATTTTTTCCGTATATTTTTCTTCATATATATATATATATATATATATATATATATATATATGTATTGTGTGTGTCTGTGCGTAAGTTTGTGTGTGTATTTAATACTTTATGCTTTATTTTAAAGGATACAGTTTATTTAAGTAAATGCTCTTTTTTCTTAAGTATTAGTTACATTTACCGGCCTAGAACATTAAGGTCGCTAAATATAATTAATACTGTTTATTTAGAAAATAAACAGGCCATTTACTTAAATAAATTGTATCTATTAAAATAATGTATAAACACAAAATATATTAAATAATTGTCAGAGTTAATTCATTTCATAATACCCCCGCATATATATATATATATATATATATATATAGTTCGAATACGAATAATCTTTAACAAAAATCGAAATCGTCTACCAAGTGTTCCAAGACATAAGACAGAAGATAAATCTTTTCAAAGCAGATTATGTTCTGGAATTGGAATGAAATCAGTGATGTTACCTACCCTGAATCCATGATAAAATACAAATTGGATTTAGGGATTAGTAAAAACTTAACAATTCAAATACCTCAGTGTATGTTTCAGTTATGAGAAACTTTGTATAGAAGATAAAGAAAAAAATTCAAATTCTTCCATATCATCATCAGATGGAAACTTTTACATGTACGTCATGCCTGGCTCCAAAATCACCCGTAAATATCTAAACTGTTTTAGTGAGGACCATCCTCGTTTGAACCTCGTGGACTGGCGCTACATAATCTTAAACAAAAAGCAAAAATAAACACTAACAGAAACTTTACTTAAAGACATCCATCAGCAAAAATATATAAAATGGATACAACATAAATTGACGCGAAAAAAATGACATAACGAAGATGTTGATTTTATATAATATTTCATATAAAAAGCTTAAGAATATATCCTCTCCATCATAATCAATACTAAAACGTTACTGGGACCGAAAAATGTATTTTCCTAAAACATTTTTTTCTTTTTAAATTTTTAACATATAAATAGTTTAATTTATTTTTTGTTTTTATTAAATTTTTCTCTTAGTTTTTAAGTTGTAAAATCTGTCAAATTACTCTAAAATTTTATTAAGTGTGGTTTAGAAAAGAAAAGAAAATAATAATAAAAAGAAAAACACCAAAAAAATAAGTTATTTTATAGAAGTTAAAAGGGGAGGTCTTCTTCTATTCTTCCGAATAAACACCCTATCTTGGCCGCATGTAGGAAGATCACTACAACCATGCATACCTAATTTATAACTTCGAATAGCCCAAGTGAAGTCTTGATTGGTTGTTGTCTGCTGGGGCAACTTATATAATGCACGTTCTAAAGCTAGGGGCAGATTTTGTTCTAGGTGCGGGCCGAATACTGATCATATTCGGTCGGGTCGCACATCGAAAAAGTCTTTTGTTTATTTAGACCCGAAATTTCTAGTGACATGGGAGCAACAAAACTGACGACGCATCTAGATTTGGCATTTAAAAGTGTATTTTAATAATTGTAGCATAATGTGTAGCATAAGATGTGTAATTTTTCTTTCCGAAAATGGTTTAATTTTAATTCTATTGATGCGTTAAGCTTTCTAACTTCTGTTGTCCTTTTCATTTTATTTTTTTTTTACTCTTTACAGTTTTAGTGGTATAGTATTTTGTGCTAACGAAAATTATCTATCGGGATTATTGTTTTCGTCAGATTTGTTTTTGTGTTAGTCGGAAATAAGCGAGATAAATGAGGTATTTTCGAATAAATGACAAAAAAATGGGCGCGTTAACGTAGTGATTATGTAACCAAGGTATGTGCATTTGAAAAAAAAAGTAAAAAAAAAAAAAACATTTTGGGGGGGTCAGCAAGCAAATACATAGACAGCATTGATATATTGAAGTTCTGCTTTTTCGTTTCGTCCCGTGTAATATGCTGAATGTTTTCATGTTTTTGTAATAAATGATGTGGCAAAAGTATATATTAGATCATTTCGTTTATCATTAAATTTATCCTGAAGCCATAAGAATGGTTTGAACATCAAACAGACCTGAATAAATTATAAATTGCAACCCATATATATATATATATATACACACACACACATATATATATATATATATATATATATGGGTTGCAATATATATATATATAATCTAGATTCTTAGCCTTGCTCAACTTTTGATCACTGAAGAAGAAAGCTAGAGAAACGAATCACAGCAGTTGATAAAAATGAGGTTCACTGGCTTTATAGTTTCAATGCAATATATATTCATATATATATATATATATATATATATATATATATATATATATATATGGGGAGGTGAGTATACTAAAACTACAAAATAAATGAATGAAAAAGAGCCAAATTTGTTAAAGGTTTACTGTCGCCCTTTTCTTTGTATTTTTATCTCTCTGTCGAATTTTACGCTTTCAGCGAGTCAGATTCAATTTTGCAACCGCAGATTTCAACGAAAATAAAAATATATCGACCCGTTGTGTTTTTCACCAGGTCGGTACCTTCTAGGCATCCGAGTGTCATGTCCCCAGAGTAGACACGGCAGAGCCAGTCAGCATGCGCCGATGTATTTGTAAGGCTGCAGTTTGCCATTTACACACGCACACACACATACACACACACACACACAGATATATATTTCTATGTATAAACTACGAAAACACTACCTATTCATTTCTCAATCTCTTTTCACATACACACACACACACACGCATATATATATATATATATATATATATATATATATATATATATATATATAATTCTTACTTCCTTATGCTATTCATGTCAAGGGAATCAAACTAATACTTTTTACAACTTTTATTCTTAAATCTCTGATCTTGCTAGCTAATTATTAAGCTGATTTTTTTTTATTTCAATATTTCTCTTTCTTTTTCTCTCTGTAATCGTCTTTTTTTCCTTTTCTTTCGCCTTACTTATCTATTTACGTACCTATAACTTTTAACGTGTCTGTTTTCTTTCTTTATCGTCAGGTGCCCCCGCTGTTCATTTCTAGGTTCTTGGCAAAATCCAAAGACGGATACGCAATATGATCGGTCTTGACTTGGCATTTCGACTCCAGTCATTTTCTCACATACATGATGTGGTTTCCCATTTCTTTTCTACAAATATTTTCATGGCATCTGCTCTAACGAGCTATTTTTACCGGTGCCCCGACTGCATAAATTTATGCGTGCTACCAGTTTGGCATCTCGGTCCCGCTCCATTTACTGTCGAAACAGTTAAATGTAACCGCCTCTTCTACACCAGCAGCTTCTTCTCTTGCACTTCCCGACAGTGGAACTCCCTTCCTCTTACTTGCTTCCCTGAAAACTATAATTTAAAAAAATTTAAATGTAATATCAATCAACATTTTCTGCTGCCCGGTTCTTCATTTTATCCTTTCTTTAATCCTCCATATCCCCGGTCTTTTCTCTTACTTTCACTCTCTGTAACCACTTGCGTACTAGTGGCATACCCGCCTTACTTAGGGTGAAATGCTTAGAAAATTATATATCTCGGGACTTATCAATTACTGCTTTTAGTTCCTTTTCTTTGTTTCTTTCTTTCTTTCTTTCTGTCTTTCTTTCTTTCTTTCTGTCTTTCTTTCTTTCTTTCTTATTTCGTTCTTTCTTTCACCTTGCATATTGAAGTACTTATCTTTTATGCACTTTTGCGCTTTTCATGTTAAGCTTTCTTTCTTTCTATTTAAATATCTAGGTACCTATCTATTTCTTGTTTTGTTTTTTGTTTTTATTTTCTTTAGTTATTTCTATCTTTATTTTTACCTATCTAAGCGACCCGAACCTGAAAGAAAAATATCTGGACGATGTGAAAAGTAAACACAATGGAAACTCGAAATGGGGCGCATTAAGAGGCGCTTTAGTGGCATCAGCAAACGATATCATCCCAAATGAGAAGGGACGAAGAAGAAGAAGAAAAAAAACGAATGGATGACTGATGAGATTCTCGACATGAGGCAAAGGAGACAGAAAACTCTGCTAAGATACGGAACGGAATACAGAAAATTACATAATGAAATAAGGACCAAATGCAAGAAGGCTAAATAAGAGTGGCTAAAGAAAACATGTACAGAAATAGTAACCACTAACAAAGGTGATATGCACAAACAAATAAGGCAACAGAAAAGAAGACATATTCAGCAGGCTGTTTAAAATCAAAGGAAGAGGCAGCTGAATTTTCTGGGACACGTAATGAGAAAGGGAGGCCTGGAAAATCGGATGCTCACAGGTCGAATAAAAGGAAAGAGAGACAAGGGAAAGCAACCCATGACATACCTGGGGGGCTTAAGTTAGTGGATGACAGAACGTAGTCTGGGGGAGGTAGCAGAATGATGAAACATATTGAGAGACACAAGGGATAGGGTGATGTGGGGAGCCATAAAAAGAGACGGCACATAAAAAGAAAGAAAGAAGATACCTATCTATTACTCTCTGTTTCCTTCCTTGTTGCTTTCATTGCTTCTTTCTTTCATGTTAAATATCTTAGTAGCTCTCATACTCTTCCAGCTTTTTCTAGGTTGTTTTTTTTTTTGTTTGTTTTCCATTTTTTGTCTTTCTTTCCTTTTTTCTTTCTTTCTTTCTCTCTTTCTTTCTTTCTTTCACGTTACTTACCTTGGTTCCTATCATACCTTTTGATTTTATTTTCTATTTTTGTTTGTTTGCTTCTTCATTTGTTTGTTCTTTCTTTCTTTCTTTCTTTCTTTCTTTCTTTCTTTCTTTCTTTCTTTCTTTCTTTCTTTCTTTCAAGTTACATATCTTTATACCTATCATCCTTTTTGTGTTTTTTGTTTGTTTGCTTGTTTGTATATTTGCTTGTTTTTCTTTCCGTTGAAACTTGACTAATGCATGAATTAATAATGCAACACAAAATCTACTTAGAACAAAATGTATTGAAACAAAAAAGTGTACACAATATTTACATATAGTCTTTTGTATATTCCTGGTAAGACCGTTCCTGGAGAATGTGTTGACTGAGTCGCAGTCGGGCAGAGTCTCTGGTTGAATCTCTTGATTCCTCTCTCTCTCTTCCCGGTACCAACCATATTTATATGGTCGGTACTCCACTATGCAAATTAGGTGGATCCTACCACAACACTTTCTTTCTTTCTTTCTTTCTTTCTTTCTTTCTTTCACGTTACATATCTTTATACCTATCATCCTTTTTGTTTTTTTTGTTTGTTTGCTTGTTTGTATATTTGCTTGCTTTTTCTTTCTTTCTTTCTTTCTTTCTTTCTTTCTTTGTTTCTTTCTTTCTTTCACGTTATATACCTTGGTACTTTTTAAGTTTTTTTTCTGTTTTGTTTGTTTGCTGCTTTGTTTATTTGTTTTTTTTTCTTTCTTTCTTTCTTTTTTTATTTTTCTTTCTTTCTTTCTTTCTTTCACGTTACATATCTTGGTATCTATGATCTGTTTTTAGTATTTTGTTTTTTGTTTGTTTCTTTGTCAGTTAATTTGCTTTCTTTCACTTTGCATATCTTTCTACCTATCATACTTTTCGATGTTTTCCTGTTTTTTGGTTTGTTTTCTTTCTTTCTTTTTTTTTTTATTTATATATATATATAGGTACCTATATTATGCATTTTATCTTCTAGCTTATTCCTTTTTTCTTTCCAACGCTATTCATATCCATTTATCTATCGTTGCTTCCTGTTTCTTTTCTAATTCCGTGTTTCGTGCTTTCGCTTGAGGAATTGATATTAAATAAAAACACTCTTTCATTTAGATTCAGAAGGACGTTTAACTATTTTGAAAAACAAAACTTGACAGTGTGTCTTCCGTGCATAGATTGTAATTTGAATGACGTCGTTCTGCGGCAGATCTTAATCGGGAAAAATACAGAACAGGGGAAAATGCTAAATTTATAAGCAGACAGCAATTTCAAGATACAAACAAGCATTAGAAACATGTTCAAACACACACACGCAAACACACACACGTATATATATATATATATATATATATATATATATATATATATATATATATATACATACATTTAACGAATGCTTTTTTACTTGAGACATAGGTAACAGGGTCGATCAATAAGTAAATAGCCTGACGGAATTATTACCTGAAATTTGTTCTGGAATTTTCAACTTTCAATATCAGTCAATGTGATCAATAGAAAAGCGTTGAATTAAAGGCGTTGGCAAGCCAGGAGATTATGTTGTCCGATAAATAGTCTCTGTCTAAAATAAATGCTTTTATTCATGTATGGGGTACGGACTTACCGATGCATCTACGAAGATGTTAAATGGTGCTGCCTGTAAAATGTTTCTCACTAAATGATAGAAAAAAACACTGAAAGAAAAATTCTGTCATTATTTGTTTTGTTTTTTTGAAGTCGTAATCTAAAAAGACGTTGCCAGTTTTTAGAAATGTGTGTTCACTAGAAATAAATAAAATTAAATCATTCGTCTCAGGAGATTATAGAAAATAGGGAGAAAAAACACGAGCGGAATACATTTCCTGAAATTAGAAAATTCTGAGAGTGTCTCACATATATCTACACGCACGCACATACACACACCCGTATATATATATATATATATATATATATATATATATATATATATATATATATATTAATCGAATTCACTTAAAGCATGGTAGTAAATCTACGGAGACGCAAGGGGTTAATGGGTGTGGAAGAGTTATAAACAGGAACATTGCAAAGAGCGAGAACTGTAGAAGTATAATCAGGAGGATAGCGATTGATATTGCATTTAAATTTTTACAGATTGAAGTTAGCTGGGAAGCATGGAACCGGAATGGAGTTCCATGAGAGAGAAGTGCGAGAAAAGAAACTGTTAGGATTGAATTTACGGTTATATATATATATATATATATATATATATATATATATATATATATATGTGTGTGTGTGTGTGTGTGTGTGTGTGTGTGTGTCTGTGTGTGTGTGTGTGTGTAAAACAGGAAATAACACGTTAGGTAAATAATCCGGAGTTGTTTAGTATTTTTGTTTTTATTTAAAAAAAAACAGTGCTCCATACAGAAGTAGAGCTTAAATTATAATTATTTTTGAAAAAAATATGATTCCTTCGCTACATAAAAGTTCTCATGTTTGAAAAACAAGAGCCGAAAACCTCAATATAATTATTAAAATTAATTTGAATTAAAATATCTACCGCTGTTTCATCCTCAAGCGAAAATTTAGGAACAACCAATCTGGGAATTTACACATCTTTATAAACATGTCAATTCGCAAAATTAACTACTATGGAAACGGCTGGGGGATCCATTTTGATAACGGGCCTAAATGTTAGTTTTTATCCACATATCAGTCACCTTTGGAAAGAGATCAAGCCGAAGTAGGGTCGGGGTGTCCATTTCAAAGCGAATAATGGCATTCATGTACGCACATCGTCTGGTCAGTCACAGCGAAAGATAGCTGTTGGCACCATAATATGTCTTTAAGTGTCTAAAGAATATTGTTTTATTTTATTTATTTATTTTTATTTTTTCGAAAAGGGATGTTTCGTACATAAACGCGTCGCACTGCACTACAATTTTTTTTTGACGACTTCATAAAGGGTTTTTCTGTCTTATGATTGGGTTAAGTTTTTAAGCCTTTTATTAGAATATGAAATTAATTTTTTTAACTCTTATGTAGCGAAGGAATCATATTTTTTAAAAAAATAATTATAATATATATATATATATATATATATATATATATATATATAATTCAGTTAATTTAATTAATTAATATTTGCTCTGTTGATACATTGAGCTCTCTGGATGGTGGATTACATGCTCTTTGGAATTATCCATACATATTACCAAACCCTTCACTACCTTACTGTGTATATATATATATATATATATATATATGTAGAGAGAGAGAGAGAGAGAGAGAGAGAGAGAGAGAGAGAGAGAAGGTTTGACCTTTTGAATATCATCTCGTTCCGGCAGAATTATATATCTATATCTATATATATATATATATATATATATATATATATATATATATATATATATATACCTCCTCATGTGAGGAGGACGTAATTCCCGAAACACTGAAGTCGGGATGCTGAAAGTAATATCAATCAGCTAAGTAAGAAACCTATTATTATTCTATTCTCTTTCTTTCTTTCATTCTTTCTTTCTTTCGCTCTCTATCTATATGTGTGTGTGTGTGTATGTGTGTGTGTCTGATAAAAGTTATATTTTATATGTTTGCCTTTCCTTAGCAGTGAGTACTCTAGTCTGTTACAATTCATGTAGTGGCTCCTCAACAACCCAACTGCAAAGAAAGCTTAAGATTTTCGGAAGACCTTCACATAAAATAACAGAATACCGCTACGAAAAGTCGAGTATACGTTAAAATATATTTTCATATGTCATTTTATCCACGAGACGTTAAAATCTATTGTCACTGCATTGATTTGAAATTTCTCAATGCTAAGATAATCTCTATCTATAAAAGGCAGGATGTGTGTGTGTGTAACGAATGCACGGCCGCAATTTTCGACGGATTTGCACCAAAATTTGCATGCACATGTTCCAAGTTAGCGGAAAGGCCAAGACTGAATTTGCATTTTCCCAACTCCCATGGATAGTGGAAATAATCGATTTTTTTCATGCTTCTACGGCAGTTTTCATGTACTTTGCGGCCATTTTGTACTGGCCAGAGTGAGAGCTAATATCTGGCTGCAAACGAATAGGCAGGAAGATTCTATTGGCCAGCGTGAGAGCCAACAACTTACTGACACGAATGTCAACTAGCATGCTATCATGCAAAAAAAAAAATCGATAGCTGCATTCGTCACAAGTGGGAAAAATTTAAATCTGCATAGCACTTTACTCCAATTGGCTCATTCGCTTGTGTGACGGTTACACACCTGGCCCAGGGTCGAATCCTTTGGTTACGGCGCCAACGGTGACGTCGCTCCTCCTGGTCGCTCCTCCTGGTTCCAAGCGTGCCGCTCCAACCCCTTGGTTAGATGATCACCAGCCTCGCCTTTTCCGACTCGCTTCCAATACCTGGTCACTAAAAAGCAACTGTACTGATCTCCGGTCTGTCTACCCACGCTGTGTTTAGATCTTAGACAGACGGGACCAGCAGGGATTGGGGCCGATACAAGTTGAGTCCAACGGGGGTGGCAAAACACAAATAAAAGAGAAAAAAAAAAAAAAAAAAACTCACGAGACAAAAAGATTGCTGATAAAAAAAAAGGGTAACAACCCTTTATATCTAATGTCCGTTACATAAAGAAAAAAATTGTTCTCATTTCCCGACCCGCTCTGTGGACTATGGCAACAAGCTTCTATCACACAACCTAAAGATTTCGAATTGCCTACTCTTTAGAATTGTGTATGTCGGAGTGTGGTTTAGTTCGACACTGGGGCTAATTTCTATCGATCATTCGCAGTTGATTCTTCTCTTCGACTTGAGTTGTATTTCTTCTTCTTCGTCGACTTAGATAGAACTTCTCTTGTCTTCGACTTGGGCTGGATCTTCTCTGCGGCTTTCGAGTAATCTTCTTCTTCGTCTACTTGGGCTGGAAGTTCTCTTGTCTTCGACTTGGGTGGAAAGATTCTCTTGTCTTCGACTTGGGTGGAAAGGATTTCTTGTTTCGACTTGGGAGGAAGGATTTCTTGTCTGAGGATTCTTTTGCCCGCAAAGGGGCGAGTGAATCGGGCCCGATGCCCGTGTTCAGGCTCTATCCCTGCCCGCGGTCCAGCTGCCACTCTGCCGAAACTCTCAACTCAACTGATTTCTGTCGACTGGGGTCCTGCTTTTATTGACGCCGCAGCAAACCGGGGTGGGTCTGTTGGCGTCAGGGGTTTCTCGATAATTCCAATAGCCGCATTAATTCTGTTTCCCCATTATCGCTATTGTTTTCACCCCTACTTCCTCACAGTGCCTTTGGTGGGGAGGCGTACACCCATCTCTCCCGGTTTCTCGTATGTCAGGTGACCGTTTTTTTGACCAATGGTTCCTGATCGAGCATTCTTCCTCTTCTTTCCGCATATCACGTGACCGCTTTCGGCTAATGAGATTGTGGTTGGGCGCCTCCCATCTCAAATCGGGCGTGGCTTACATCGTTCTTGTTTTTAAAAAAACAAAATCCAATTTTGCCCTTTTCGCACGTACGAAAAAATGACAATCTTGGCTTTTTCTCACCTGGGCTCTGTCAAACAGCCTGCCGCTAATTAGATGTGAGTTCAGGAAAGAATATTGGCGCCATCTGTGAGCTGAGACAATCGTTTTTTTCACCTCTTGTTTTTGTCAGACCCGACAGTCAGAAAATCTTAATTATCTACATTGAAAATGTCCCCACTTTATTATCGTGGGTTTCCAATTCTTAACAGGCCAGAATCTGTATACAGTTCCACCGGTCACTCCCCTCAACCCAAAAGACACTTTTTCTCCGATTAAAAAAAAAAAAATTCGTTTCTATTGTTCTAAAAAGAAATTCCCCTTTCTCCAATTTGACAATGAGTCTTTCCACGCAAAAGTAGGCTAGGTGCTTTGACCGATATTCTTATCGCCAATACACTGTCATCAAGCCTGGTTCTTTTTTCCCCTCTAAATGATTTTTCATTTCAAATAACAATTCTCTATTGTCTTTTAAAATTCGGCCAACACGCAGGCCAAGATATCTTTCTGACACCTATCTTCGCTTATGACCGGGTCATGCATCATCCATCTCTCTTTCCTTTTTTCCCTTTCTTCCTCTTTTCTTTCCCCTTCCTTCTTCTTTCCTTAGGATCGTCTAAGTACAACTTAGTGAATTATTTTCAACTCAATTATTTTCCGTTTAAAAAAAAAATCAACAACCTGTTTAATAAACCGAGTAAAAAAAAAATTAAATCATATTTCTATGAATATTTCTAATAATGCAAGGTGCCACACTTGCTTAAACACAACGTTGATTCTGATTCCGTGTGAAAAAGTATTTGTTGTTAACATTCTTTTTTCATTCGGTTTTTCCAGTTACGAGTCCTTTTTTTAAAGCTGATCGTTTTGTGTTCATTTTGTTTAGTTCTTTTTTCGTAACAGATTTAATGTTTAGTATAGAGCTTAGAAAAAATTCGTAGTGTGAGATAAGCAAGAAGTAAGGCATGTGGCAACATCAGCACAGCAAAGGGCACTCCTTTAAAGACAAGGAAGGGCAAAAATATTTTAAGTCAAGTGATAGCGATTGCTGTAGAGTCGTACGATTTTTTAATCAAGCACGGGCAACGCCAGGCCATGCTGCTAGTAAATAATGTAAATGCTTATTTCGTGATTTGCTTTAAAACGACCAACTCGTACCAATCCAATATATCAAAACAAATATAAAATCTATCACTTAGTTCACTGGAGTTATATTCATCAGAGTTTCGAAGACAAACATTTGTGTAATTATTAGGTTCAATAGTCAGGAGGTATCAGCAAACTGCTGTCAATTTTCAAGTTTTTCGCTATTATTTTTATTAAGTTGAAAACTAATTGTGCGTTTTTTTTTATTAGTGTTATGTTGATTTTCTTGAGTGTGTGTGTGCGCGTGCATGTGTTCGAGTTTATGCATGTGTTCGTGCACGTACATGTTTACTCCTGTACGTGTGGGTATGTGTCACGTGTAGGATGTCGAGGTTATTTCTTCTTTTCATAATTTTCTTGTCTCCTTATACTCTCTTGCTGTCCCTTTTCTTTCTTTTCTTTATCTGTCGGCTCTGAGTGTCAAAAGATGATTTTATATCCGGTGTCAGATACATACATACACACACACAAAAAACACACGCATACACACACACACATATATATATGTATATATATATATATATATATATATATATATATATATATATATACAGAGAGAGAGACAGAAAGAGAGAAACAGAGACAGACAGAGACTAAATTCAACGTGGTTTAATGTTTAGCAAGCTTGTTGGCTAGATCAATTACTACTGATGAGTGAGTTTCATAGTCACTGGGTCCTATTCGGTTTTGTACCATATCTAAACTATGCCTAATAAATGATTATAAATATATTATATATATGTAGTAATAGTTTTACTATATATATATATATATATATATATATATATATATATATATATATACTGATACTATATATATATATATATATATATATATATATATATATATATATATATATATATATATATATATATATATATATATATATATATATAGTATCAGTATATATATTTTATCACTTTAAACGTTATTTGTAGTGTATAATTGCAGAAGATCTTATAAATAGACGTATTCTACTTTTTTGACGGTTTTTCTATCCTTAGCAAGTCGTACACTCGTTACGATTTTAAAGTGTTGGTACATATATATATATATATATATATATATATATATATATATATATATATATATATATATATATATATATGTCAAATCTAAGAAATCTGTGTAAACAGAAGTATCTTTTTACTTTGCTTTCATGTAGTTTCGATTTAATAATTTTTTCCGCTATCATTCCCTTTCCATTTCGCCTCATAGATTTTTTTTTAAAATTTACCTCGATTTAGCTCTTTTGAACGAGGTATGAAACCGGTTAAGTAGCCATTCAAATTTTAATCTTTTAATTTTGCATAATGAGTATAAATAAAAAATAAGATCTTTTTTATTGCCATCATATATATATATATATATATATATATATATATATATATATATAGTAAAAAACTTAAACACTAATATTCCATGGTCATAATTTATTCCATTGGAATTGTAAATACGATCCAATTCATCAGACCTACAAATTCAAAAATTTGTAGGTCTGATGAATTTGTAGATCTGATGAATTGGGTCGTATTTACGATTCCAATGGAATAAATTATGACCATGGAATATTAGTGTTTAAGCCTTTTTACTATATCCTTACTCTGCCCTAGACGTTGAGTTCTACCTGGATTCTTCCTCTTGGAATTTTTTTAAAATATACATGTACGTGTATTTATATATTTTGCATATGTATGTATATTTTCCACTAATATTATATATATATATATATATATATATATATATATATATATATATATATATATATATATATATATATATGAGTAATGAAATAAAATATTTTACTTGCATAATTTTGTACACAGGTTCATGCTTGTTTGTTTTTTAAGTAGCTAATCATTTAATTTATAGAGCATGTTTCCCAGTACTTTTTTTTATCAAAAAATAAAACAATATATTTATGATGACGTAAATAGTTTAAAATAATTCGGTTAATGTATTGGATAAAATTTCTTATGATTTGTCAGATAAGATTTTGAATTCGTTCGGTTATAAATAATCTTTATTATAAAGAGCCTAAATATCATTCGAGTAGTTTTTTTTTCTCTTTTGAGTTTAGTTAATACATAAAATTTTAACATTAAATTCACAATATCCGGCCCAGTTATTTACGCAATGTTTGAGATGATGCATGTGTCGTGAACGGCATACATTTCTGAAACATCGCAGCAGTAGTGAGAAAAACTGTCCATATGGCTGCATGTTCTCAATTTCAGATTTAATAAATTACTTTATAAGAAGCTTTCTTGACTAAAATATAATTAGGTATGTGAGGTTACGATCTCCAAAATGATTTATAAAGAGACTAATCAGTTCATTTTCTTTGGTGATATAGACATAAAGGTAGTCATGTACATATGAACGTATATATATATATATATATATATATATATATATATATATATATATATATATATATATATTATATATAATGCAGCCTAATTAATATTGTAAAATATAAATAAATCAATAAAGTTAATGTAATTAATGGCGAACGCACTTCGCTAACAGATTAAAAAAGTTGTTTACCTCATTGACCTCTCGCTGAACGACACGATCCTTGTTTTTATTAATTGTACAAAGGATTAGATGTTCGTTCCATATTACTTGCAAGTACTTTCGGTAAAATCATTTACCATCCTCTGACATTGTTATTTTTTTCTCAATTTCAGGTAAATTCGGGTAAAATTCCAGAACAAAAATTAATTTGATAGTTTTCGAAAGATGTTTTATTAAAAAGTGTGCAGTTATTTTTTTCAACGTGTAGTAATGCGACGCAAGATTTTTAATATTCTAGTAATGTATTAATTCACTATTGCTATTATTATAAGTGTTTTTCGTTGACGTGACATAGACTACTGGTCCAATAATTACAAAAATGTCTTAGAAGATTGCAGATTTTTTTTATTGCAGATCCTTGTTTTTATTAATTGTACAATGGATTAGATGTTCGGTCGATATTGCTTGCAAGGTCTTTCGGTAAAACATTTACCATCCTCAATCGTTCAGTGGGTGGTCAGTGACTTAATTCTTTTTTTTAATCTGTTAGCGAAGTGAGTTCGCCATTAATTATATTAATTTTATTGATTTATTCTTTGAATGTCTACTGTACAATATATATATATATATATATATATATATATATATATATATATATATATATATATATATACACGTGCCAGATTATTATTTTTTCTAATATTTCAAAAACAGTTCAATCAATTCACACAAAATTTTTTACACAACGTTGGCAACACTGACCTACGCAATCACTGAATTTTTCGTACTGATCTGCGCAATGTAAACGAACTGGCGCCATATTTTTTTATCAGCACGGTGATAATAATTTGGCACGCAGTGTATATATAAATATATATATTCATCTATCTATCTATCTATCTATCTATCTATCTATCTATCTATCTCTCTCTCTCTCTCTCTCTCTCTCTCTCTCTCTCTCTCTCTATATATATATATATATATATATATATGTGTATACAAACAGTGAGAGAAGGTACATATTGACAAACGCACTTGTATATATATATATATATATATATATATATATATATATATATATATATATATATATATATATATATATTTTAATAATAATAAATATTCACATCTTCACGTGGTAATTTAAAACTGACTGTTACCTATATATATATATATATATATATATATATATTTTTTATTTATGTTTAACGTTGTTATTTTTATAGAAAACATAAATAAAATGTCTTTAATAATAAATTGTACCTCGTCCATTTCTTAACATATATATATATATATATACCGGACTATATTAATAATGGAGAAGTTCCTGTTATTAAAAGGTTTTTTTTTTAAAAAATTGCAAAAGAATAAAAATAAATTAAAAATAATAATTAAAAATAATAAAAAACTGTACTCATAATTTAATCGATTTGTTCGCATCCAATTCTCAATGGAATTTTTGGCGACATAAATTTATAATTAAAGATCGAATCTTTTTGTATATGAAACTAAGTTTGTATAAAATAATTATGTTAATGGCATGAAATTGAAGTGTTAAATAATATGTTGAAAATGCTCAGTTTCAATTAAATCATATGATACATAAAGTTTAAATTCACAACATTCGATTTATTTTCCTACACAGCATTTGGGATGTTTTTAATTGAATTTTTGGTGGTTTATCATGAGTTTGCGGAATATTTAAAACCGAAACATATTTTTGTCTGCATGAATAATTCATATTGTTGAGAACAGCAATGAGTTTTCCAGATGTAAGTCTTACTATTTGACTCATAGCTGAGAGTAAATATACAGATTCAAAAGTTTCGTAGGAGTATTTAATAATCTTTTTCTGCCTAACATACAATTATCTTTGCGTAAATGTTTGTTGTGTGTGGATAAGTTTGCCAAAGTCTATGTTTTGTATATCCAAGATTTCGACTCACATGTGTCATCATTAGTAGGTCTGAGTGAGAAAGGAAAATTTAGTGTTTAAAGAACCATTATTTTTTGAAAGTATTGTTATTTTTTAAAACTGAATGGAACGCGACTAATGCAGAGAGTCATATGGCAGCAACGTGTAATAACATGTATTATTTTTCTTTTATATGTTTTCTAAAATACATTGTCCCAGATAGGTGTTATTTTATTAAAGGATGGTGAGATGTAGATATTTGCAATAGTGTTTCGTCTTTTTGAAATCAGATATATGATGTATTCTTCGATCATTAGAATGGTGCTAATGTTATTGTAATTCTTGTGAAGCTTGTTTGTATGTTATTCAATTGCAATTTTGTATGAAAAAGTGCATGTGAACTTATATGAAAGTGTGTTTGTGGTACAACCTATATGAGACATATTTTGTGTACTGTTTACACAGATGCACGTATCTGATTGGTCAAGTGAATACATGAAAAAAAAATAGCCTTTTAAAGGGGTTCGCTAACGTTTACATCATTAAAATTATTCTTGCCAAAATAATATTCGATTTCATTGGCCGTAAAGTCGAAGATCAAGGACCATACCGAAGGCGACTAACCCCTGAAGACCCCAACGGCTAAATAGGCGATCTACACGATCTCAACAGCGAAACTGGCGGAAGAAGTCATCGCTTGTCGGGCTGGTGTAACCAAGGCGGACCTTGACAGACCAAGCCTCCGACAGCCCGATGCAACCAGGTTTGCAAGATCTCGCTTGTTTCAATGCTCTTTTAGCCGAGAGGGAGGCGCTTCCGTCGGATAGATTTGTCCAACAAAATCAAAATCACGGGAATGTCCTCGTCAAACTATCTTTGATTCACAATCATCCCCACCACCGCCACCAGGGATGGAGAAAGGGAATAAGGAGATAAGAAATGCCGATCGGGTGCCGACAATATATTAAGTAGTATTTACTTAATATTTCTCAATTTCATAATAAAAATATTTTAGAAGGGAACACTAATTTAATTTTCTTATAAATTGTTAATAATGGCAAAATTATATCGTTTTTTCTAATTTAAGTAGTAAGAATTAGAACTGGATATCTATTCACATCCAATTTCGGTTAGCATGGAAGAGTAGTTTAAAGACTGTAAATTCAACCTTGCTAACCGATCGCTCCTCTGTGGCCCAATCGGTTAAAGGCACGTCAGGCTATATGAAGGTTCCATATCGGATACGTGTTTCATTTCTGTCGGAGGACGAATATTTTCTATGAAAATTTCTCGGACATTCAGGCCTGTAAATGTTGTTTAATACTGTTTATTATAAACAGAGCATTTACTTAAATATTTGTATCTATAAAAAGAATATATGAACATAAAAAAATCTCTTAAAATATATATGAGGACTCGTAAGTCGAAAGATTTAACTACAGAATATAACAATCTAACATAAAATCTATTATGTAGTTACCGCATATGAGTCCGCGTTAATTCCAAATTGCTGAGGGCTAGGAAAATAAATGCTGTGACTACACAACATAAATATGACCAGTTTGTAAACATTTGCGAAAGAATATTCATACATTAGAAAAAAAAAGCATTACATTTGATATATGCAAAATTTCTACTGTTTTTAACAATATTACATGTAATGTAGTGTTTAAATAAGGAACGGGTAGGAAAATGTACATTTAATACTTTTTCGCCATTTATTTAGCTTCATTAGTTATTTTATTGTCATCTTCTCGAGGCAGTATTTCCCCCTTTTTTTTACTTTAATAGCACTCTAACATTAATCGCCCGGGTGGTGAAATCATTATATGCTATTCGAGGTATTTACAACGTTTTAAATAAGAACTTTCCACCATTTAACGGTTGACAAACGGGGGAGCCATCACCTTCTTCGCCAACATCCCAATTTTTAATGTACATTTTCGCTAACATTTCAAGAATTAAATATAAACACATACACTTTATGGTGCAGGCGATGTCTACTCAACATTTTGAAACAAAACAAACCCAAAAGTTAAAATCTGATACTTACAAAATTACAAACGCCATAAATATAGGCAAGTAATGAAAACGAAAGAAAAGATTGAATTGAATCTTGTCTCGTCATTATGGATAATTTGCGATATATGTTGAAACTACAACATATTTATCTTCTATACTGAAGATGTTATAATGGATCCAGACATTGAGGTATTTGTTGGGTTTACCATTTACTGATTCCAAGTCCGGAATTTTTATGATTAATTCGTATTTATGATTGATTCCAATGCCTTCAAAACAAAACTTATCTAGATTAACCACCGTAGAAACATTTTTCTGCTTAACATCAGAATGGCTGACGCTAAACACCTGGGGAGCAACTCATTGCGCCTAAATGGTCTCATGTTTTCAACTGACTTGAAATGGAGTGATTCATCGAATCAATAGCTGCATCTACTGCAAGGAAAGTTGGATCACTGTCTCGTGACAGAAGATTTTTTCTCGTCAGAATACATTCTTGCACATTTACAAAACAAACATTTGAATACTGCTGCCATATCTAGTGTGGTGCTCCTGCTTTTCATCTCGAGGTTTTTGACAAAACCCAATCATCTGTAAAATAATCGATCCTAGCTTGGCGTATAGTCTTTAGCCACTTTCTCAGCGACGTGTCGTGAATCCCTCTGTCTTTTCTACAAATGATATCATGGTATTTTCTGTGACGAGCTTTTTTTCTGTGTTGCCTCCACTACATGAACTTATGCGTTCTACTAGATTTAAATCCCACTCATTTACTGTTCAAATAGCCAAATACAACCGCCGATTCTACCCCAACAGTTTGTTTTTCGCACTTCCCGATTGTGGAACTCCGTTCCGTTTACTGGCTTCCTTGAGAACTGCAATCTTCAAAAATTTAAATGCAACGTCAATCTTCTATCTTCTTGAATGCTGTTCGTCTTCAGTCCTTTCCACAATCCACCCTAGACACAGTCATTTCACTAACTTTCACTCCCTGTTACTCCTTCCGTACTAGTGGCATTTCCGCCTTGCTTGGAGTGAAATGATTTAAAAAAATCCAGATCATTGTCTCGGCTTTGGTTAATTCCTGACTCACAAAAGCAAGTTAAATATATATACACATACAATGTAGCATGTGGGCTGATTAATTGAAAACATGAGTCTTGAATCTTCCTTAAGGTGCCTCCTATTAACGCAATATTTCTTTAGTTACTGCCGGTCAGTTTGGGGTAAGCGGTCCCGTGCCATACGCGAACCATATATTTTCGGAGATTCTCCCTGAACTACTCTCTGGTATTTTTTTTCTTTATAACCATCTATCCAGCATTCTCGATCCCACGCTTACAATAACGGATAAAAGTGGGAAATCACGTATATCTCCATTTGACGGGCAGAGTAACCCCGTGTCAACCCTGTGTTAGGCTTCCCTTTGATGGCTTGGTGTGAAATTTGAGTTCAGGTCTATTTTGGCATCGTACCACACATATATACAAAGATGCCAAATACTTGAAGTAAGCCGGTGCAACGGACATTGTGTTGGAAAACAGTCATTAGCAACCAACAGGGCATGAGGTAAGGTTTGTAAAGTATCGTTGGCCAAAGGTACTTCTATTCGGTCAAATGATCCCTGGCCACGGGAATCAAAATGAGATACTGTGTTTTCTTGAAACGCATGGTACTCCCCATCAAAAGAAAAAGAAACAAACAACACTCGATAGTGGATCGTAGAAGCAACCGACAGGTGGCGATATGAGGCTTTCCAAAAAAAGAAAAGAAAAAGAAAGAGAAAGAGATGGAATGAAAATGAAATCTTTTAAATTCCGTGCTCTCTAGGATAATTACAAGCTCGCGTGCAGTTGCTGTGGGGGAAAAACAATAAAATAGAAAACGTCTTCGTCCTATGATGGCCTCACTTGACTCGGATCTGCAACAGATTTGAAAACCATTTCTAAATATTCGTTCTCAAAGTCAAACCCATAACATTATACGACAGAAACACACCAACCCTCAGAGAAGGTTAAAAACTAATAGGTGAAGATAACTGCCAAATGTGATGTGCAGGTAGTCTGAGAGTTATCAGCGATGAAAATGAAAGCAAATCCCCGAGATCGAATGCTGACCTAGTCTTTCCATTTTTTGTTCGCTTCGTGATAATATAGTTGGCAAAAGGTCTGTATCGACCTGACTAGAAAAGGCTCTTTAGCCTTGAGTGGCGGTCGGTGTAGGAGAAAGTCTATTCTGAATTAGTAATCGATGAAAAAGACACTACAAGCAATTTATTATCTTTCTTAAGAAGTCCTGGCAATTCCAGATTTTTTTTTTTTTACTTAGTGACATATCAACCTCTTATTTAATGCCAAAATCTAAATATTCTGTGCACACAATTTTATGTTGCTTTTGGAGATAATAATGGATTCGTGATACAAGTCTTACTAATTAACCCTTAGCTGGGAGGAGAAGATGCAGATTCATACTTTTCCCAAAAGTATATGCGTGTAAGTGAATGCAAGGAAACTGAATGGAACCTGCTTCTCCGATTAACAATTCCGAGCCATTATCCGTTACACAATCCACACATCTAAGCTTACAGCAGCTAGTATTGCCAAGCGGTCACCCATCTAGGTAGTGACCAGGATCGACGTTGCTTAACTTCGGTTATCATACGGAATCGGTGTTTCAGCGGCACAGATCTGAAATACAGGAAAGTCGGGAGTAAAACCCTGACTTCCTACGTCTTCAAGAGCTATGATTAATCGAGATACATGGAATTGAATCTTCTGTTTTTTTTCTTTTTATATTTGCCGTTATGAAATATAATTCCGTAATAATTAAAGATCAGTTTTAGTTCCTAGTTTATTAGTAAGCTGTATCGTATGGAACTCCCGCCATTACAAAATTTTCCAACTATTTCATTTGGACTTTATCGTTGAAATCTAAACGTTTTCTTGTGCCTCGCACGCCAGACGTTCAAGTCTTATAGAACAAAATATGTTGTTCAGATTAAAAGTCATTCGCTTCTAATAAAATAAGAGGGAGGCGAGCGTTAATGATATTCATATCTTTGAAAACCGCATCCGTTTTTTTGTTCTTCGTTTTCGTAGATTGCTTTTTTGATTCTTTTATTTTTCGTTTTTCAAATTAAACTTTTGTCAAAGAGAAGAAGTGAGGAATTTGTTTCTTCACCGTTTCCGTCTCTCTTTTAATCAAATGTCCCTCGTGATTACCCGTGAAGAGATTATGAATAATCATTTCATAGGCCTTTTTGCAATTCTTAGACTTGTCTCCGTTAATTATGATTAGAAATGTTTTAAAAAAAATCCAGAAAGAATTAAAACACGTATATCTATTATCTTTTTAAAAAATCTTATGGTATCTTGTTTTAACTTGTACCGGTTGGTGCCGGCACGTCTTCATTATTTGTGAGCTCGTTTGGTCCCAGTGGCATTTATTTTTCTTGTCTTCGTTTCTCTTTTCAAAAATCGTGTGTTGTCGAGTCATGATTAAATCAACGAAACCAAAAAAAAAAAAAAAAATATGAAGTCAGGAACATTTGAAAAATAATTAGTAGTCGATGTCCCTTGCAATTAGTCTCTCACTTTTGTAATCAAATATTTCGACGACTTATAAAATGCTAATTTATTTGTTTTTACTAGTAGATTAGTTCAGGAATAAAGTTAACAAACTGTGGTGTCTTGTGTAATGAGCTGGCAAACAAGAAATAGTTCACTTGTAACCTTTGCCCATCTTAAATTTCCATTGCGACAGAATTGACTCTACCTGCCGAAATTCTAATTAAAACATTCAATCAGTTATGTGCCATGCGTGATACACGCTTAGGCGATCATGTATCTTTCGATACATGACTGACGAGGCAGATATTTTTTTCTTGCAGTAGGTTGCCATTTTTTTCTGCGGTAGACCAGTTGCCATACAAGTCTATAGAACCCGGTCTGTTCTACTATTCACCCATAGCTGGGTAGAGAAGAAGAGGATTCATAGCTTTCCCAAAGTCATTAGCCCGTAAGTGAATGCAATGGTTTCAAATGGAATTCGAACTCTGCTATCAGATTCCTCAATGCGAGCCGCTATCCATTACTCCACCATGCTTCCTTGTGTCTCTTAAAAATCTCTAATTAAAACAGACATTTTTAAGACTCCTTTACTAAAATGCCAGTTAACTTAACACTCTTCGGGCGGAACGAATTCATCGCAACTGCCTAAACATTTTCACTATTGAATCATTCTGTGACACATAATGGTATGATTCGAAAAGAACTATTATATCTTGTGGATGTTTTATCGATTCTTCTACTTTTTCCTGCCTTCAACACGTGTATGATCCATTTCTAATCTCATGCAACGATTCGATGCAAAAATGATTGTTTTTTAACCAGTCAAGAAAGCAACAGTAAGTGAGCAAAACTCAAAGCGACGTTTTTTTTTTTGAGTTTCATTCGGTTCATGCGGAACAAACCTATTCAGTTTCTTTATTTTTCCAATTGCTTTCAGGTGCCAAGAAACATTTGGGCGGGATGTTTCGAGTTCTGATGCAAGCTGTAGTTCTGGGATTTTGATAAACCAAAGTATTCAATTGATCATGTCTGATAACCGATTGTAGTCTTGCCCTTACTTTATTTTCACGACTATAATCTCCCGAAGAAAACTTGTGAAATCGTCTCTGTAGAGTTCTGATTTCAACAATACCAACACAATAAGCCCCCCTGATATTCTGAAATCCTTCAAAGGTACAATGACTGACAGTTTTTACTCGTACAGTAAGATTACTCGACATTGCTTCATTGTAATCATTTTCATTGGGCTTATGACGAACAATGTATTGAAAGAAAAATTATCTGGAAAGAAAAATAGTTAGGAATGATTCTAGATTTTTTTTTATATACTAAGGACGTTACTTAGACAACGAGATCAACAACCAACCAAAAATTGCGTCGTTTCATGTGTGTAAAGCCTAATGCCTTCTGTAAGAGAAATATGACCCAAAAGAATCTCTTATAAGAGAACGACAATCTATTTACATGACTGATCAAGAAGAAAATTTTGTTCATTTGGTCAGTTCGAATTCCAGTCGGGTTCGTTACAAACATTATCTATCTATCTATCTATCTATCTATCTATCTATTCGTTACTTACGCGTAAATAAACTTGTGAACGCGGTGAATTCATGCTTTCATGTATGGCAACCTAGTAAATGTATATAAGTTTTTTCCTTGTTGTACCCGTCGTAAAGCAAGTTCTGCCGATGCCAGGGACTATTAGCAAAAATGTGGTAAAGGGAGTCAAACTCGTTAGAACTGATCCGGTATGCAAAGACACAGTTGAGGCATTTTGGTGTAAATGAGATAATTCGTTTCTGTCTAAGATCTATTTTCAAAACATGGTTTATGTTCCGTCATCGTCAATACTTTTTATTTGAATTTTGATTTTCCCGTTACGTCTATTACGTCCAAATATGGGCCCCTTTTTTTTGTCTTTTCAAATTAAATATTTTTCCTTCCTAAAACATTCTCTCTCCTTATATAGCTCACTCGTTCTTGATAGTAAAGTCGACTCACTACTCTCTCTTATTTTTCTCATAATGGCTATATACGTCTCACTTGGACGTACTGCTTTATAAGTATTGTCAGTAATCTTCTCCCAAGCTGAAGACGTAAACAATATCTATATATTCTAGTAAAATACGTATTTTTTATTTCCCATCCTCGTATATCCATCATAGATAAACAGTCCGATAAAGTCCTTGTCATAGATTAGATACAAACAAAGACCTTAGAACCTAGTTTATCCAACTATTTAACACATAGCCAGGAGACGAGATTGATCTAAGCCTTTCGCAAGAGCATTAGTGCGTAGTGATTTCAGTAGACTTTTACTGAAATCGGACCCAACTCATCGACTTTTGTGGCTAGATAATTCATAGATCACGTGAACTTATTATTACTGTAAACAAAATCGATAAGCATAACACAAAAGAAATGACGGGCGAAGATTAATAAAAATTGGAAAAGTTTTCTCTTAAGAAATTCGAAAATATCGCATCTAATTTTATTACTGTAAATAAATCAACCGACATAAAAAGAAATACATTTTTGTCGAAATTTTATAATAAATCTCAATAATTTTGTTAATGAATTGGTATAATATTTCTATAATTTTCTATAATATTTCTCCAATATTATTGTAAAAAAGAAACTATTACAAAACAAAACAAAAAGAAAAGAAAAGTGTACTGAACCATTTTGAAATAATGGTCCTCCTATATCGCAGTGAATGCTGAACGATCTCATCACAGAGGAAGACGAGACTTGATGCAAGAGAAATCTGGTTATACAGAAGGATGCTGAGAATATGCAACTACCAACGAAGTTTTAAGGAAAATGAGAACAAAAAAGTGCACATACGAAGAATAAGAAAGAGAGAGTTGAAATTTCTAACGGAGGACGGGAGCTTTGGCGAATTCGACATTCACAGGATGTACAGAAGGCAAAACGGGACAACGGAAACCTTGTTTAAATGGCTAGCAGAACAGGCTTACGTCCACATCACATTAAAACAGCGATTCCCGTTCGACCACAGAATCTAAGCAACGTCGTGCCTGGTTATTAACTAGATGGGTGACCAATTGGCAATGCTATGTGCTGTAAGTTTGGATGTGTGGCCGGTGCAATGAATAAGGCCTTGTTAATCGGAGAGCCGAGTTCCAATTACATTTGAGTTGGTTATTTTCTCTTACGCGCACATACCGTTGAAAAATGTATGAATTCCTCTCTTCTCTCCTCAGCTATGGGTTCATTAATAAGAAGGGTATCACTAAAGCATTATTATTTAAAAATCTTACAATCTGAAATTTTTTTTTGCTGTAAAGGGTTGATAAACCGTAGAAAACAAAACGATCAATCAAGGACAAGGACTGAAAGCGATGCTGAAAAGACAAAACTTCTTAAGAAATACAAAGGATCGGAAGTTATGGCGAGCCATGATTGATACTGTAAAAGATGGCAACCGACAAATGAGGAAATAAATTCTCATGAATAATAAAAAATAACTGACAATGCCTCAGTGTATTATTTTGTTTGCTATAAAATGTTATCAATCTAAGTTTAGCCAGCGATTTTATTCATCATACTTATTATAAAACCCAGGTTGTGTGTGTGTGCGCGCACGTGCGTGCGTGTGTGTGTCTGTACGTTTATATATTGGATCGGATTTCCTACATTTTTCAACTGATTTCAACAAAACTTCACAGGACTACGTAAAATTACCTTGCGGTGGTTCTGACAGCGCCAAAAATTGGAGAAACACAATTGTTTTTGCACAAAATCAATTTGAAAACACGATTAAGAGGCATCGCGAGAATGAAAGGGGGACAACTCATATCGAGTTATACTTATTATAAAATCCAGGTTGTTTGTGTGTGTGTGTCTGTTCGTTTATATATAGGATCGGCTTTCCTACTTTTTTCAACCAATTTCAACAAAACTTCTCTTTTTTTTTGGCAAGTAGTGTTTCTTATTGTCTTGCACATTTTTTCTTTATTTTTACATTCAGAATGCTTTAAATATTCCATTTACAAGACAATTGTTTATAATAAAATTCTATTCAATCGGTAGACTCATAACGATTGAAAACAATGTTTTTGTTTGAGTTTGGGTTTGACCAATTCGTAAAAAAAAAAAAAAAACCTAATTAAGACATGCGTGTCCGTCAACCTTAAACAATAATCTTTGTCAATTTTATTTTTCAGTTTTTATGATGGTTGATACTTGATCTATCTCTTACTGTTACATCCCCGGGCAACGCCGGGCTCTACTGCTAGTTTGTAATAAACGAAAAAGAATCATAAAAATATTTTTTCTTTGTTATTATTATTATTATTATTGTAATAAACGTAAAAGAATCACCAAATATTATTTTCATTATTATTATTATTATTATTATTATTATTATTATTATTCTATTATTATCAGTGCCGTCAAAAATGACGGAAATTGTTAGAAATCTTTAATAGTGAGATGTAAGGAAACAAAAGTCTTGGAACATTGTATTTAGATTGAATGAAGCAGAGATAAAGAATTCACAATAAAATAGAGGCCAATGAACTACTGAATTAACCCGTTCCATTTATATTTTTAAACGTCCAAAGGTACCTATGATTTATTGATTACTCATGGTATTATATAAATACCTTTTTACTCAATACCTTTCTATGTTAAAAATTTATTCTGTTTAATATAACAATGAAATAGAAATATCATTTGAGAGAAAAAGCTTAGCAACGAAACGATAAAGTCGGTGACGACAAAGCCTATTTCAAGACCACATTGAAGCAAGACGATCGCTTAATAGACAAAGGTATCTGGGTGCCTAACATGAAAGGCTTTAACAAGTAAGACTGTAATCAATGTAATTTAGGAGCAAAGGAACTGATTCATTAAAGTGTTCATTTTACTGGGAACCTAATTTTGTCTTAATGCAGGTAAATGTTTTATTTGGATAGATTATTAAATGGACTAAGGGAAGTAAACACTCATATAATATTACTAGATTAAGTTAGTTTATCTCCCTTCTCACTACAGATCGGACAGGAAAAATATAAATAAGTACATAGGATATATATAAATAAATAAACATAAATAATTATTATAGTGTTTGATTAATAATAATAATAATAATAATAATAATAATAATAATAAAAATAAGAATATTAATAATAATAAAATCGAAATCTCAAAAATGTAGGTGGAGCCCTAGGATTGTCTGGAAAAGAATCCAATAGACTCATTGAAGGGATTCTTAGAAGCCCATGCATTAAAGAAATGCAAAAAAAATGCTCTCACAAGTACAGCCCACACCTTAAGAAGGGTTTTATCTATGTAAAATATGCTTGTCATTTTTTCTAATTGGTAAGTAGAAAATATGATGCCATTTCTAACCTTAGGTCTCTGGGCCGGAAAGGAATGTGTACACACAAGAAATCAAAGGAAATAATAATAATAATAATAATAATAATAATAATAATAATAATAATAATAATAATAATAATCCAGTTGTAGTTGTAGCACTCGGATTGACTGGAAAGGTTCCGATAGACATATTGAAGCGATTCCTGGAAGCCCATGACTTAATGAAAAAAAAAGGTGCTCAATCATTACGAAGAGCTTTATTCATGTAAAATGTGTGTGATCTTAATGTTTTTTTTCCGAAAAGGATCCGTGGAAATTGTCATAAAGTCATTTCTGAACTTAGGCCTCTGGTTGAAAATGTGTATACAAGAGAAATCAAAGAAACAATGCTAACTGCCTGAAGGCTAATGGGATCAAGCTTGTACAATGTTCAAGGTTTCACAAACGGAAGCAGTAATCTTTTTTGTGGATATTTTATTTTAATTCAAGTTTGAAGGTACGCAGGTGTAACTTTTTCAAACGTCGCACCATATAAATATCCTTCCAGGCTTAATAACGCCTTATGTTTAGAATGCAATCAAGTGGTTGATTGTTTGACCGAAATATTTTTCTTGAAGTGTCGTCGATATTAACGCAAAATGTTGTCATTGTTGGAAAATAGGAACCGTTCATGATTTCTCTCTCTCTCTCTCTCTCT